TCATTCCTACTAATTATTCGATCGATTTTCATTCTGAATAGTCCCTGATTTTATAATACAGCTATATTTGCATACATGCATTCATAGCGATATATTTAATCGCTCTTCTCTCGATAATCTTTATATAATCCACAAAGGAAAATAATCTGAGCCTTTCAAAAGAAAATAGACGATGAAATATATCATCATCGAATTCGCTGATGTAATGTGTAATTTATCACATAGATGACAATAAATTGTTCAAATGTCAAAACTGATTAAATAGTAATCGGAAAATTACTAGATGTTGCAGTAATGAAACTATAATTTCGTTGTTTTCGATTCTTTGTATTCAAATCATATAACACATTTCACTTTCTAAGACGATGACCGAGTATCAAAATGATCAATAAATTATAATCATGAGTCACCTTCTTCATGCCGCTTTCGTATGACACTATGCTACTTTTCGAACGCAACTGTAGTTCAAATTGTATTGAGGATCGGTCGATTCCGGGACGGTCACAAAGAATTCACAATGAATTCGCATACAAGTACGACAAGTGTGGATTTTTCGTTGTCACGTTTGCTAGTAAAAGCTATCAAAGAAACGCTCTTCGGGTCCCGTTCTAAAGAGCCACGGCCTCTCGGACGTACCGTTAACTCTGCTCCTCTTCAGCGATGTGATCCCCGTCATTCATCTACCTCGCCTCTTCCCAATTAGGAACGTTCGCACGATCATAGCGAATTAACCGATATCGATGTTACGAAGAAATGGTCTCGCTCACCAGATGCTCGATAAGTCAAACTTCCGTTATAACGAAATTCCATCAGTCCAAATGTAAGGTGTCGTTATACTTTTGTAGAGTGTAACTCGTAAAACATGAAAAAAAGACATTTACACACATACTCCTCTGTAATTAGTCTAGTCTCGGGTCAGTTCTATTAAAGGGAAAGGCGTTGAATCTGGGGCACCTTGTACACGACACCTTTCTATGAAATCGCTGATAAGATTTCACACAATCGAATGCCGAAACTTTGATCGTCACGAGACGATGAGTCTCTTACTCAACAATGAGATTTGGTAATTTGTATTTTTGTTCGCATTTGTTCAATAAATAAAAAAAGATAATTAACATCGGTATAAAAAAAATATATATATATGTATATAAATAAATATATATAAAAATATATATCCTATTATCTAACCATATATTTATCTTGTCTTTAACGCTCTCAATCAGCTCAATAAACGAATGAGGAAGTAATTTATTATAAATAACGAGAAAGCGAAAAAACGCGCATTATTGAATTATACATCATGTGCTGGATGTTTATCGGATAAATTTAACGATCTTTATTAAATCACTGATCTCTCCGAAATAAACTTTGTTACGATCGAAAGTCTAATTTTATGTTTCCATCAATTTTCGAACGTATCTCTCATAGGTTTTATTTGTAGATTTAATCGAGAGATTAAGGAGAGTTTTACTTTTTTTCTTTATGAAGCAGTTAATTAAGGCTAAGGCATTGTGTCATCGATTACGAAAGTGAGCAATGAAACATAATCGCACAATATTGTGCAATTTGTATATAAAATATGTAATATAAAATATGATACAGAGAAAAATATTTTTCTTATTATCTCTTCGCAATAATAAAATATTATGCAAAAGTGTAAATATACATAATATGCACTATTTGAGAAATTATGTCAGCAAAGAATGACATCCAACCTGAGATAAATAAGTTATTCATTTTGGAATTAACACGAGATAAATTGTAAAATATGCCGACATGAATAAAGGTGAAATGAATTGCTGTTCTCATAAACACGTTATGTTATCTTCTCTTCTCCCAGTCTGTGGAATCGGGGTGATTTCCCTTTTCCATCATTTTGTGAAGCGAGCAAAAAGCCGAGAGATACGCTCGCCTAAGTCATTATCGCGGTATCGATACGACCGGGAGATCTCCCGGAGGCCTTTCCGATTTTCCTTTTGCCAATTTCTCCCGTGCCATCCGATAGACTAGTCTGGCAGCATCGAAGAATGCTGACGAACCCGACGATGATTTCTTTATTCTTTTTCGATGTTCGTGAAACGGATATCTCGAACCAGTCTTGACTTTTCACGAATCATAATAAGAACGTACGTCAATCAGTCTACTCATTCCCATGACTTCATTAAGCTGGCTCCCACCAGCGTCTTCATTCAATGCAATGCCCTCGACTAGAGATTCGCGACTTCCGTCGCTACTTTTTCCTTGCACTCCGAAGACAGTATCGGTCAGATCTGGGTCGTAAGTTCATACCTTACTCCGTAAGGATGTATTGACGATTTCTTGACCCGCAGAGACAAACATTAACCATGTCAAGCGCTCGAAGTGATAAAGGATAGAAAATAATCGAGTCTGCGGTTTGCATATACGGAAAGTATATATTTCTGTAATTGAAACGCCGAATAAGATTTTGTTAAAGTCATGTCCTCTTGAACCTAAGTGAAGAATAGTTACATTAGTTTGCCACAGAAACCCGTTATCTTTACAGTGGAAAAGTATGCATGCCTCGACGTTGAAGAAAAATCGACCTCAAGTCTTGGCCACAGAGTCTGTCATTAAAAAATAATATATATAGGCAGAAGTGGGACACTCTGTATATACGTGACGTGACATAAAATTCGCGCGCAGTCATTACAAATGTATCGTCCGAGATCGTCTGCTAAGAGTAAAGTGTCACCACTTTCCAGCTGAGTCTCAGCAGTCTGCATACGCGATAATCTATTTCCTATCCATTGTACGTCAACGCAGAATATATCGAGGCGAAAACCGAGGTGATGGTGGAATGATAACTTATGATAATCATGAACACTTATGATAATCAACAGTTATTACAATTAAACACGGTCCAATTAAAATTGGACACTTATGGTAATCAACAGTCATTACAATTAAAAGGCGTGAACGTAGCAATTTCGCGTCTTGGGAACCTATAAAAAAGAAATAATGATTTCGAAAGAGGCAAGTAGTAATTTTCGTCACTGCGGCTGTCGTTAAATATAAAATTATCGAACGATTGCGTAGATATATTTACGTAACATGTGCAATAAGAAAATTTCCAAAGTCATTTTAAATTATTACAATAGTCTTTATCGGGAAAAGAAGAATGGTAATTGCGAAAAGTTAAGGGAGATGGCCATTGCGATTCTTGTGCAAAATTTACACATTCTAATTGCGCTGTTTCAACTTTAAAGCAGCACACAAATGATACATATCCTGAAATAATTATAGAGTATGGTAATTTTTTAACGCTAATACTGCGGAAAATATGCAAGTCTATGCATATTTTTTTTTAAATATATTTTAATTTTCAAAATGAAGTTTTAAAATTTTATCTTAATAATATTAAGTTTTTGAAAAAACTTAATATTTCATGAAAAAAACATTTTTGATATTATAGAATTTTTAGCATTGTTTAGAGACAATATCAAGGAATAGATCTTAATTTTTTTTAAATTTCTATATAATAATCTTGTCGTCGCGTAATATTATGACATCAAACTATTATTATGTAAGTGGCAGACATCTTTAGAAAAAATTATATTATTATTACGTATTATGTACTCAACGAATTTACAATCGCACTGGCAGCTTCAACTTTCTCACGAGATTTTAATGATAGTCGTCCACTTGTTGTCACATGACTACTATCATTTAGTGATTAACCATCTTCCGCGTTAATATTTCTGGTAGCATCAAGTCGTTACTTGTATAACATGAGAAATGTGTAAATCACTGCATTTAAGTACATTCCCGCAATTTCGCGAGTTTAATGAGAAGTCGCACACTTTGCTTCGCTTTCCATCAGTTGTAATCCTTCATCGATCGTTTTTATATAAATTATGATACATTAAGCTCACAAAGAGTTCTTTACATCTGTGACTTTCAACATATGGAGAAATCAAAGCGTTTATAATAGTCTTAATAAAATACTGTACATTCACAATTGCTATTTAATGCTATGTATCTAATAAAGTGAACAAATGCTAATATAAAATAATTGCGGCTTATTTTCTTAACTAGAATCACTGCATTATCACTGAGTAGTAGTTTCATGTATAAATATATTCAATATTATTGCGATTTAGTGTTATAAAAATATATTTCAATATTAAAGAACTAAAAGTAGTGAAATTTCATCAAGAATTAGTGATTTTTCGATGAAATCATTTTCATTATTAATGAAACATAAAACGAAAGAATAAAATATGAGCATTTTCATTAAAAATCAGTCATATATACACTGATTTTTGATAAAATCTCACTGCTTTAATCAATGATAATTTTACTGATTCAGTTTAAGAAAGTTTGCCATCGATTTTATTAACTATTTTGCAATATTTCTTTCCCTTTTTCTTATAAATCTTTTTTCGCCGACATTTAATAACTATTTAATTTTTTGAAGATAGGGATTCAAAAGTTCAATGTTTTTCAGCTGCACCTTATCTGACATATTTGTTTCAAACCAATTGAATTCCGATATGATAACACTCGCAATAAATAATATCAATATAATCTAAAAACGGGAACACCCTTAGGTGTATCAAGTATAAAATATTGTGTTCCAGTAGATTATTATTCAGGCGGTAGACTAATAACGATAGCGGTTACAAGCCGTGGACCGGGGAAGCCGTTACTATTTTCATCGACCGAAACACTCTTTAATTAGTACGCGTTTAGATAAGTTATAGAATTTTCAAGATTAAAGATAGAGCACGGCTTGTAATGCTGCTTTTCCCAAGTTTAAGTTGTTGCAAATTATTAATTTTTTAATAGAAAACAAATGGCATACATTTTATTGATTTCTCTTCGAATTTTTGCAAAATGAAAGTTAGAAAATTCTAAATTTGTGAGACATGTAAATTATTAGAATGAAATATCTCACTTATATTGTGTATATTTGTATACGTTACACTATCTCTAGATATTCACTATAATGTAATAAAATATTTCCACCGATTCTGTAGCGGGACAATTCTTGTCTTTAAACGACAACGCGGACGAAAAGAACGACGCGGAAATTTTTCGCGCAGTCATCGAATCAATGAGGCAATGGACACTTCACAAGACATACCATCACAGAAAAAAGAGAGAAGTGTCGAAGGTATGTTACGAAGACGTAGGTTGCTTCGAGGATACTGGGCCTTTCAGTTATTTAGAAATGCTACCGTCACCGCCGAAGGACGTCGGAACTAGGTGAAAAGAAAAATATATCTATCTAGTAAATCTGCAAAAAGTGCTGATGCAAATCATTACAGAAGTGAATTATATTTTATCTAGTACATAATATATTATCTAATAATAAATTATCTAATAATATTCTTATATTATTTAGTAGATTAATATCGAAAGAATCTACAATTGCAAAAAAAATATATATCAAACATAAAATATTTTTATAGGAGATAAAATGAATCTATTGTAAATAATTTTATAAAATAATAATTTAATAAATTAATTTTATAAATTAATAATAAAATAAATAATTTTATAAAATATCTTTTAATAGATTAATCTTTTAATAGATTATTTAATATCTTTTAATAGATTCCTCATATATGGAACTAGGAGGGCAAGGTCAATCCCTATGGAAGTATCTGCTGATGATATAAATGATAATACACATCGTGCCATAGATCCCACTCTACCCACGAAAGTGATTGTGCACGGATTCGGAAGTCATTGCGGTCACTTATGGGTGTATGATATGAGAACAGCATTAATGAACATTCAAGATTGCAACATAGGTATGTACATCAAAACTTGTAATTAAATAATTCGCATCGATCGGTTTAGTTCAAATCTAGTTTTTAAAATTCTATAAAATTTGCAGAAAATCTAATATCTTTATTTATCGCCGAGAATTCTAGTGGAAAGTATCACTATCGCGCACTTTATTAAATCACTTCTAATGACAATTTAGAATTTATGTTTTAAATTTACCTTTTTAAATTTACCTTTTTTAACAATAATTTAATCGTATCAAACTTTCGCATTAAATTTACATAATTATATTATTTTTGTGATAGGATACAAATGTAATTCAGTAGAACAACTGATATTTACTTTCCTTTTTTTAACCGTGAATATAATAATTGAATAATACCGGTCTTGCCTCAAAAAATTACTCTCTCTTTCGAATTTATATACATATGTATAATATAATACACACTATTTTAGTTTGTGTGGATTGGGGCCCTGGAAGTGCTGTGCCCAATTACGTAAGAGCAGCGGCCAATACGCGACTGGTGGGTCGACAATTGGCAAAATTAATTCGCAATTTGAATGTTCCTTTGGAAAAAGTGCATATGATAGGATTTAGTTTGGGTGCCCATGTAGCCGGGTTCGCTGGTGCTGAGCTAGGAAATGTGTCTAGAATAACCGGTATGCCAACTTTTATTGAAAAATATACTTTTTATTCATGTTTTTTTCAAGTAAAATTATTATAAGAGAGCTATAAAAACATTGCGCAAAATTTTGCTAAATCGAAGAGATTAATTTCTCATGTAAATACACGAACACATTTATAAAAAATTTTGTTTTTGATGTGCAATATGTACAAATCAATTTTTCAAATATTACGTAATTTTTTTGTTACATAACAATTTATAGTAAATAAATAAATATAAAAATAAATTTTTGGAATTGCTTTAAAAAAAATATCAAATAATAGTAATTGTTAAAAAATTCGTGTATTTAAATTTCATGTAATATATTCTTCAGTTGATGCAGTTTATTGTGTCGCGTGCAATCTATTCTATATTTTTTCTATATGGCCTATTTACAACAATTATTCTGTGTTATTGTCACTCAGCTTCGTAATATCTGTCAGTACATGCATTGAATTGAAGCGTCGATTAGGATTTTCGCGCGAATTTCTCACGCGCGAGATATTTCAACTATCGAGTATTAATTCGCGCGTATAATCGATTATTCGAGAGTAACTGTAACAAGGTCCCGCTAAGCAACTATTTCGAAGCGTTCAAAATGATCATTCCATTCGCCTCTTACTTCGATACGCGTCGGTGCCCTAATTGAATAAGAACTGACTTTGACAAATTTATCATGCATTTTTATTACGTATAAATACGCGTAAACGGATTTCAAGATAAAATGAATATTTTCTTTTTAAAATCTCTAAGATTATTAGACCGAAAAATTTTTTGACATATCTTTGCTTTTGCAGTATCTTACGTAAAATTTAGAAACAATTATTTTCATAATTCATGGCTATTTTCACGGCAAGTTGCAAGTTTTTCTTAATTGTACATTTTAATCTTTTTCTCTCTTTTTCTCAATATAATTTTTTAGATTTTTCGAGAAACAAGTAGTTTTCAAATTTGTAAATTATCAAAATAAACGATATCTTTTCGTAGACACGTCTTCTTGCATTTTCAATTATTGTTTATTTTGTTTATAATTTTCAATTATTGTTTATTTTGTTTCTAATATTCAGAAATGATCATTTTCACACTTTTGATCCTGATTTTAAATAGCGAGAGTGAATTTAACAACGGTAGTCAGTCACATTAAGTAAAAGTATCCTAGTATATCTATGTGCAATAACCTGTAGACTTATAAAGCAACTGGTTAACATTTTTAGTGCGCTTGTTTACCACATTACGTAATACGTCCAATATGTATATATAATGTTAATTTTATAAAAATAAGATTCTTTTTTCTTCCTAAATTTGACATTAATTTTTTCTTGGTGAATATTTTTAAAGGATATTATTTCTCCTCAAATTATATCAATTTTTTAAATTTCTATATGATTATGATTTTAAGTTTAATTTAGAGAAGTATCTTGAGTTTAACTTGTAGATGAAGTTTTAGAATTTTATGTACGATATGTACATTGCAATGATTATTGCATGTTCTCGTATGCAAACAGGATTAGATCCCGCAGGACCACTTTTCGAGTCGCAAGATCCGAGGGTTCGTTTGGATGCGACGGATGCAAATTTCGTAGATGTTATTCACAGCAACGGCGAGCAACTCATTTTGGGTGGACTTGGTTCTTGGCAACCTATGGGCGATGTGGATTATTATCCGAATGGCGGAAAAGTGCAAAGTGGATGCTCAAACATTTTCCTTGGCGCTGTTTCTGACATCATCTGGTGTAAGAATTTCTTATGACATTTCGCCATGGAATTTTTCTTTTTTATAGAATATATCATTATTTTTTTTAAATATACTCTTCGATATTAGACATTTATCGTGTATTTTTAACTTAAAATGCATTATAAAGTAATTAATCTTTAATTATTCTATAATGCATCTTATAATGCTATTCCTCTCGCAATCAAAAAGATTAAAAGTTAAACAAATGAATTACTTTTTCGACTAATAGTGCGATTATTTTAGCGAGCGCGGTCGAAGGAAAATCGCTGTGCAATCATCGGCGAGCATATAAGTTCTTCACCGATTCCGTTAGCCCGAAATGCCAATTTCCGGCCTTTCTCTGCGATGAGGGCTACGAGGGTCTATTAAAGGGCGAATGTTTTCCCTGCAGCAAGAATGACGTGAATCGATCATGCGGCAACATGGGTTATTACAGCAACGAATCGTCCGCCAGGGGTAAACTCTACTTGATGACTCGAGAAGAAGAGCCCTTTTGCGCTCATCAGTATCAGATCAAGGTGTACAACAGTCGTAACGAAAGGTCCGTCAAGAGCTACGGCAAGCTGCAGGTGAGCGTATTTCAGTTTCGTTACTAATGATTTTTATCCGTTTTTCACTTCAGATGTCATTTATTAAATAAATAAATAGTTGAGAAAAATATGTAATAAATTTGATAAATAGTTGAAGTACACCTAAATTTTAAAGACAATATTTCAAAGTTTTTATTGTCTTTCAGGTCACACTTATTGGAAAAGATTCTTACAACGACACATTCGCGATGACACGCAAGGACGAAGAACTTTTAGTAGGAGCCATTTTACAGAAAATTATTGTGCCGCATCCTGCGGTCACTAATCTTGAAGCAATCGAAGTAAGTTATGATTATTATCTTAATAATTTCTATCTGATGTATTATATCTTTGTATGCTTATTTCAAGCTTTAAATTTATCTCTGCGCAATTATTATTATAGATGCAATTTTTTTAGTGCGCGCTGTTTAAAAAGATATTGCAAATTAAGAAGTATTATTTAATAATACATTAAAATTGATTGTTGAATTAAATTTAAATAGGTGAAGAATTTTTTTATGCTATAGAAAACACTGAAGATCCTAGAAATAGCGATTAGTTTTACATTATTGTGTATCTACATAATAAATTATATTTTTGGATTTCTATAATTAACTTAATTATTTTATCAAGATTAAGTACACGGCGTACAGCGGCTGGATATCGTCTGGCTTAGTGTCTTGGATCATCGACAAGGTGGCTATTATTAACAGTTTTGGGAACACTCTATCGGTTTGTCAGAAGGGCTTGATTCTGGAATCCGATCGTCCAGTCTACCTCCCCCTTTACCCCGGTGAATGCAATATTCCTTTGGATTCTGACAACTCCACCGTGTCCCCGGTATCGGCGTTCGATCGCGTAGAGACCGAAGAGAAGCAGCAACAGCCGGGTAGCATAGGACCCTTCACTAAGGAACAGAATTATGAGACGAAGGACTCTGGATATTCCATAGAGACCTTCTTGACGGACAGAATGGCGCAGAGGAAAAATCTCGGTCCATTTACGAAGGAGCAGAATTTGCGCGTTGTTGAGACGATGACCTTCACAGAGGATGCAGAGAAGCGGCCTAACGTCGCGAATCCGTGGACCGTCTTGGACATATCGAGCGACGGAGACTCAAACTCGCTGGAGAACGCCGACTCGGAGCACGGACGAAGCTTCTCCGGCGCCAAACTGATCTATCACACCTCGGCAGTGCAACGTCTCGAGATTAACATCACTACTTCCACTACCACTACCAGCACTACTACGACCGCTACGGATCTCCTGCCGGAGATCAGAGAACCGGTTCTACGCCCGAGCAAAAAGGAAACTGGCCGGTCGCTAAAGTTGCCCGAGATCACGGAGCCGATCCTGCATCCACGCGCGAGCAGGCATAACACGCGAAACGAAGGGATGCAACAACATGACAACCAGCATGATGAGATACAGGAAACGTCGTCCACTTCTACCAGGTCGTTCACCGTGCAATTCTTGCCCGAAAGACTTGCGAACATTTTAGCACACGCCGAACGATATGCTCGGCAAACCCTACTGCCTTTGATTTCATATTATACGCCGAGCTTCATGACCGGTACGCGATCTCACGAAGAGCCCAAGTATTTTCCCCTTTTTAGTGACATAACGCAGTCGAAGAATGACTCTTCCTTCGCCGAGACTGACAAGACGACCGATCAGAATAATAATAATCGACTCTCGCGAGGAGACATTAAGCAGTACAAATCCGACGAGTCGTTCGGTTTGGTCGAAGACGGAAGACGTCAAGAAGAATCTAAATCGAAGACGCAAATGGAGAACGGCGAAAATGTAAGTAACGAGTATAGCGTGTCGAAAGCTGAAGCGCCGGTGATAGTCGAGGCTGTGTATCCGGAGAAAGTAGCGGATGCTAATTTCACCGATCCATCGGAGACGAGAATGACCGAGATTCATCGCGAGAACGACGATTGGCGACCGATCGACGAGTCGGCGGTTCTTTCGAAGAATCCTCCATCGCGAAGAGACCCCAACTTTTCGCGATCATTGAATTGGTCGATTGACTACCATGACTGGACTTTCTCGACGGGCGCAAATTCCAAAGCGGAAGTCAAACTTGACGATTGGATACCGATCACGTTGAAGAATGACGCGAAAGTATCGACGACTGCGCGAGGGATGACGTTAAGTGAAGCAGCAAAGGAGATCGATACCATCGATAATTCACGGAAATCTACTCAAGATATAATCTCCGAGACCAAAGAGGAAACCACGACCGTTCCGACGTACGAGAGAAAATTTATACCTCTCTTTGGTTTCGAGGAAACGACCGATAACTTATTCTCATCGACAAATTCCAATGATGTCTCGGAGACTACGACAATTGCCTCGCATATCCAGAAAATTCCAAGACACGAGCAAACAATGAAAAGTGCCAGGATGTTAATGAAATCCACGATGATGTTCCCGTACGCTTACGAGCGGAAAAACGATCCTAGGACGAGATATATACCGTTGATTCCGGAAGAAGATATGGGCAAACCTTATTCATCGATAGAAAAAGATCGCTAACATTATATGGCGATACAAAGTTATTAGAAAATAAAGATTGAAATTGTTGAATATTAAAACGCTCACAAAACATGAATTATTCATTGTATATCTTCTAATTCATTTGATATTATTTGATATTATTCCAATAAGTGGAATTTCTTGTTTCTTCGATAAATTTGTTTTAATTTTGTATTAATTTTATTGAATTATTTCCCTCTTCCCGTCGTTATTTATTATTTTATAGAAACAAAAAACTAAGCATCTAAGCAAAGTTATTGATGTAACGTTATTGATGTCTATGAAATATTCTATTGAAGAACGAAGAATTATTGTTATTATTTTAATTAGATGAAAATATTTGCATTGTATAATATTTCTAGTATTTCTAAAAACGGATACCTTAAATTGCATCTTTGTGAATAAAATCGTGAATGCATATTGTTATTATTTTTAAATAAAATCGATTTTGTTTGAGATCGCAGTTATTTTTAAAAATTAAAGTCACCGCAAGAATGATCATCTGTTGATGATTTTATGGAAATAATATATAGTCCGATTACAATGGTGTTTATTATAAAATAAAATTTTGTCTCTATATTATAATTATTAGTAATAGCTTACAAAATTAGAGGGAAGAAAATCTATTCGTTAAAAATCTATTCGTTAAAAATCTATTCGTATTCTTAGTTTTTGCCTCAAAATTAAATGCGTGATTTTCTGATAATAAAACATCGGATATAGAAAAATAGAAAATATAAGATAAGATCTCATGTACGATTTTTAGCAAAGAGAAATATATTTGCCGTGCCTTTTATTTTCGCGTCATCTTGTAGATATCAAACTAGTGCCTATTTTTTATGTGATTATAAATAATGTTATGAAAATTAAAGAAAGCTCACAAAATTTTTTCTTTGGTTATCAGGATCGCTAAAAACTTAATGATTTTAGAAGAAAAGATTTAATAATTTTTTCTTTTGGTAAAAATTGGGAGCTCTTAACTTTATTATCTTTGTGTGTGTATATATATGTATATGTATATATATATATATATATATATATATATATATATATATATATATAGGATTCTTTTACACAGCTATATATAGCTTCATCTTTTACTATGAATCATTACAGCTATTATTATCATCACGCCATCATCGCCATTGTTTTGTTTTTTCTTTTTCCAGTCTGTAAGTAAGTGACCAATGATCACGAAAATCGTTCATAGTGCGCTCACTGTTATGTAACTTTTGTATTATATATATATCTTGACGATCAACACGGACAATCACGAAGAGTCCGAGATATCGCACGTGTATCCTCTTGTAATGTAATAAATATATACAGTAAGAAGAGACAGTTTAGAGACTAACAGTTGAAAAATATGGAAGAGACGATATCTTTTATAGATTTATAGATATATATATATATAATCTTTAATATAATTGTTTTTACTTAAAATAAATAACCCATATTTCTTTTTTAAAATGCGTCTCTCGATTTGCCGACTTCGCTTTCTATTATTTTTTTTTTCTTTTTTTCTTTCCCTCGTTCACATTCACTCATTCATCCGCACTATTAATTTGCAACACTCGTCACTTATAATCACGCATTTATTGCCCTTTATCGATCGGGTTGAACCTCAGCCCATACTCCTGATATGTCCGCATGCTTAAGAATTAACTCGTTCGCAGTTCTTCCTTCGCTGCGATTGTTCAGGTACCGATTGACGCATCGAGGAGAAACGGAAGGCCCCGACTCGATGAACGAAAATTAAGACGAGAAGAAAAAACTCCGTGCACGGCGCGCATCCTCTTATACACAAAAGAAGAGACTGCGAATGTCGTTGACGCGATTTCGAGCTTCTCTATCTTATATACGACATATTACTTTAACGAACGCACAGTCTTATAGAGTAAACCCGTGAGCGAACTTCGACAAGTAAAAAGGTATCATCATATTATTCTATCATCCTACAATCGTAAATTTGGTTCGACTCGCCGTCTGACGAAACAATTCACATTTTATATATATGTGTATATGTGTGTGAGCCTACCTATATGTATATCATTTTGGACGAGTACACTTTCTTCTCGCAACGCGCACACACATAGGTATACATCTCATTCGTCTTACACGCTGTCACTCTCGCGTTTTCTATTGTATAAATATCCCGATGTTAAAAAAAACCATTACGTACTACCAGGAGGCCCAGAGTTTCATCTCGCGCTCATTTCACGCTCGCCGTTTCATCTTAAATACTAAGTTTTTAGCGCTACAACGTATAAAAGATAAGGCCGCCACATTAATACACTGACTAGATCAGTTTCATATGTTCTTTTTTCAAAGTGTACACAAATTCTCTCGGCTTCACATAACAAGGATATTCAGGACACGGTGTGTAATAATATCTCTATCAACAAAAAAATATATATGTATATATATTATCGTTATGTGTCTCCGGCACTTTATACCGCGCGTCCCGAGCTATTAACGTCACGACACGCAAAATTGCGAACCGTTGCGAAAGCGCGTAGCACAATGAACTTTGGGCCGCATCGATGTTAATCTATCGAGTCGAAAACGAAGTGAAAAATTCTGCGAAACGCAACGTAGGCCTCTGTAAATTGAACTTGCCTTATTCTGACCTCTCATTGCAGTATACTAGATAATCAGAAGAAAAAAATTGAAACGAATACGTTATATTATACGTTATACAGATTATTATAAATCAATAAATAGGTATTATAGATCAATTATATACCGTTATCCTTATGTTTAATAGAATAAATTGGTAAATATCTTTTTCATTTCTTAAGTAACTATATTTTGATGTACAAATACTTATTACTATATTTTTAGAAAAAGATGGATTTTATGGAATTAAGATTATAATTGATGTTTGATGAATTAAAAAGAATCGTCGACAAATTTTGAAATTTCTATGAGGTACGAGTATATGATAAAACGAGTTCAATATATTCCGCAATAAATCCAGAATAGCTGCAATAACAGGTCAGTATCTTTAAATATTTTTAAAGATTTAGAATTAAAAATTGATGAAGTTGCATATTATTAACACATTATGAAACAAAAAAGAAAAACAACCGTAACAAATCGATCGAAAATTAATCGGAAATATCAATTATAAAATTAAAATGGTCAGATAAGACGATTTGCTTATTTGCCTAAAATAAAAAAAGTAATTCGTACTCACATCTTCGATCTGAATATCTCTCTTGCAGTGATCGATAATAAGCACGGTTCGTGTGCATAAGGACGGAGATGGCTACTAGGAACTGCGAGGCACTGCAAAACGTACGTCGATTCCAAGAAATCAATTAGCACTGCGCCAGCGCTAATCTTAAACGCATTTTTCAAAAGAAATTCGCTATTGCTTCGTCCTCTCTCTCGCTTTTTTCTTCCGAACAATGTCTCGTTATAGTCCAGGTGAAACGCGACTCATGTATTAAAGATTCTATGTGCCGATGGCTTCGCCAAATTTCAGTCGTACAGCTCAATTATGTATGTATGTAGATTATCAAAAAACATCACAGTCAGGTTATTAGGTTTTTAGAGAAATGTCCTTTAGCACGCTGCGCGTGTATATCACTATCCTGCCTACAAGTCATGTATGACGCGCTGGTACTATTAATTCCCTTCTTTACCTGTCGTAATCTTTATGTGCAATAAAATCGCAAATACTATTATTTTTAATATAACTACCATTGTTTGTTCTCCACTCTTAATTATACGTGCTTATAAGAACGCGCTATGTATTTAATTGTCGTGTAACGTCTCAGGATACTTGCCGTCATCATGCACGATGACGAGGCAAACTCTCCTCAATCTATGTCGCATTCATTGTATAGGCTTTTTTATGCGGACGCTCTTTGAATGTCAAAAGGAAACGATAAGAAACTGTCAAACGACCGTCAGGCGTAATATCACTTCTTGTCGAATAATGCAAGTTTGCTACGTACGGCACCCTCACATACGACCAGTCGTTGCGCGGCTGAGATGTTACTGATGGGTACGGATCCTTCCAAACTGGCCCGCAGCAGGGTCAGGCGGCTGGGACCAGCGGTATCGCCGTGTTCACCGAGCCTACCCGCCATCGCCTGCTTTTTTTCGAAGTACTCAACAATTTTCGAAATGGTCTTGCTTGAAGAACCAATGCCGTTTAATCGATCTTCCCAACATGAGTCACCACCACCCAAACTGGCAATGTCCTCGGAGGAATCCGTGTAGATCGAGCTAGTCCGATGATCATCCAGCAAAAACAGACTGCTTGCCGCTGAACTGCTGAGGGTTGAGGTATGTCGTCGATTCGGTGGCTCCGGACTCAGGTCCTCGCCAACGCAACTCCAAAAGCCGGATTCGCAGCTGCCACGTCTCCGTGGTTCCCAACCATCGCGAAAGAGGGGATGAGTAAAGAGACTCGCAGCTCCTACCTTGGTGGCGACCTAAAAACAATGTGTATATCAGTATGAATAATTACATATATAATTATACATATTTTCTCTTATGAATTTAATGAGCATAAAGACATAAAATAACACATTTTTGAACCGAATAATAAAGTCCAATCACTTGCAATTAATTTGTGCCTACTTACTTTTCTCTCCCATTTTTTTCTAGCAGTAGGGCTGCTCGGTTCAGAGCTCGGCTTTTTCCTGTCCAGAATCTTAGCGATACTATCATTCTGCGCCGGCTTGAATTTGCTGCACGCGCCGTCAATAGCACTGGGTCGCACATCTTCTAGGGAGGGTAGCTCTAGACAACTGGAGAACAGATTACCAAGGATCTTTTTGACACCGCCCAATGCGTGAAACGGATTCGCCGTCATCGGTCTATAATGCGGATCCCGTTTGCTGGCAAGCTCAGCCACCCGCCTGGCGGAATGACATCTCGCCTTATCGGAGGGAGTGGCATTATCACAACCTCTCGCGTCTGCCGACTGACTTCTAATTTTTGCAGTACGTCGCTTTGTCGTGCGTCCTTCTCGCGTAATTTCGTCCATACTGGACATCAACGTCGAATCGACGGTCGATTGTCGTTTACCCACGTTGCTTTTTAATTCTTCTTCGCAGGTCGCTATTATGGTTTCCAAATTAGTCGTGATCTCCGGAAAGGTTGGTCTGGACTTGGGTTCGTACTGCAAATAAATAAAGAAGTCTGTCATTCACCACATCCATACGGAATAAATAATTTGAGAAATAATCACGTAGATAGATAATTCGAATTAATAAATTATAAAATTTAATTAAATTGATTTGACAATTAATGAAATTCACTGACAATTAATGAAACAGACAGCTGCGTGAAGTATTGCATGTGTGCGTGCCTAACGTAATATTTTCATTTTGAGTGTAACAGCAGTTATAATAATCGTCCGACTTGATTCGCACCGGATCCACATTGCATGCCTTTACAGTTACAAGAGATCATCATACTCACTGTACAGCAATTGAAGGCGAGTTGCAGAAAGGCGGGCGGAGGATCGGCGGCCGCGCAGATCTCCGCCACGGCCAGATAATCGAGGCCAAAGTTATCTGAGCGTGGCAGAACGTCCGGATCTGCCGGCACTCGGCCAATCAGCTCGCATACGACGATGCCGAATGAGAAAACGTCGGACCTGTGATCATACCATTGACCCTTGAGGCACTCGGGTGACATCCAGTAAGGGCTACCGACAGTACTGAGTCGATAACCCGTGCTTGGGTCCGGTATCTTTGCGGCCAATCCAAAATCACCCACAACCGCGATCATCTCGTTGTTGCACTCGTCCTTCTTGATCAGCACGTTCTTGGACGTAAGATCACGATGGAATAGGCCACGGCTGTGCAGGTAGGCCATACCACGAGCTACATCCCTGGCGAGGTTCATCCGGATGAGATGCGGTAACGGCGTATGCCGTGACATAATCAGCTGTTCCAAGCTGCCACCGTTGATATACTCCGTTAATGCGTGCAGTTGACCCTCGTGTACGCACACTCCCATGAACCTGGAAAATGTAAGAGGAAATTGATTTGTGAATGCTCGAATGTCTTCGACTGAAAAAATTCTTTTTATTGTGACAATAAAACGATGGCTTTCAATATTGTCTATAAAAAAACCTATTTCAGAAAAAATAGATTAATTTCGTTGTGAATAGTTGCGATGCTATAGCACAAAATAATAATTCAATTTCTCTTATAATAATTCAATTTCTCATATAATAATTTCTCAATCTCAATGCTTAATTGAAATATTTCCCATAAGTAATTTCAACAAGAATTTCAAAACTAATATCGTATTTGAAATTTAAAATGAATTTAAATATATATTTTCATGAATAGAAGAAAGTAAAAGAAAGCATCGCAACTTTTAGGTAAAAAAAATAAACTTTTTATTCCATAAAATTTATATAAAAGAATGTAAATAAAATGATAAATGTTTATACTCGTTACATAAAACTCAAAAATTAGATTGGATTTAAATTTATAATGAAACAATATTCTCTTAAAATTATCACAAAGTAAAACAATATTTATTATGTAATACAAAATCAAACGGATTCAGAACTTGGTGCTTTTATCAATTCAGTGTTTCTCAACCCAAGGAAATTAGATATGGAAAACGAACAAAGAAGAAACTAGGGTAAAACTGACATATTTATAACGTTTTATATTAAACTTCAATGTTATACATATATGCTTATACTCTTCAATTTATATAAAAAATTGCAACAATAAAAAATAAGATAAAATGTGCGCGAAAATATATGATAAAAGTAATGATGAAATTCGAAATCAATATAATATTACAAAATAAATAAAAACAGACAAAAGATATAAATAAAAACAAAAAGATATAAATCATGCGAAAAGACAAGGAAATTTTATGTATGAATATTATATCGCAATATCGTTTATCATTCATTATTTTTGAATAATAAAACTAAATCCAAATAATGCTCTATAATAAAGACGATTAAAGAATCCAGACATCTTTTATATGTATCTTGTATCTTAATTGCGACATCTTTGACGTTATCTTTATAGCCATTCTATTATGACAGATTAGGACAATTAAATACCGTTTTGTTTCAACGAAACATCATGGATTTTAAAATAATTTAATATTTTTGAAGTTCAATAAAAAAAATATGCCCGACAAAAAATCAATTAATTACCGCAATTTTTTCAACTGTAGTTTTTAACTATAATTTGTAACGATAAATATATTTATTATTATTACGTATAATGTAACAGTTAATATATTCTTTATTGTATACATTCATACTGATAAAATTTAAATTAGAAAGTTTATAAAAGTATGTAATAATATACAATACATTGACTATAAGTATTATATATTGTACGGATTTACATTATAATTAACTTTTCTTATACTTTTAAAATAATGACATCATAATTATTATTATAATGAAAAATAATATTGTAAGCTGTTATGAGTTTTTGTTATTATTATTTTAAATCGATATCTTAAATGGATACATAAATTCACAAGTGAAAATATATTCGAAAGAATTTTGGGAAAATTGCTATAAAACAACCTGATTATCTTGCGAAAGCTAGCTTTTGCTTGCTATTTCTCCTGCGGAGGAAAGACTTAATCGATGAGTGCACTTTACATTATCGCGGAATAAAACGAGGATCCTACATAAATGGTAGATCTTGAGAAGAGAGAAGAAAATCACGCGTTACGCTGTGTCGTCCCGATTTCGAAGCATTTCTCGCCGAGCACGTCGACGCGTTTCTCCCACACGAGACGGAAAAAAAACGACAAACAGCGCGAGCGAAAGAGAAATTTCCGGCGAAGAATTTTTCCCAGGTAAAATACAAGCGATGCATACGCGATGCTCCAGATTCATTTTTTGCCGATCAGATAAGAGGAGAAATTGTCGCTCCCCTCGTGCTTCCCAAGGTTGTCATCTGCGATTGATACACGATAGAAACATTAATTATACCGCATCATGTGGCAGAATTTTTTGCTAATAGACTCGGCATATAATTCATAATGAAATACGCGAAGAAAGATTTCTGAGAGATTATACAGTTCCAAGAGTGAAAGCTAAAATAATATATAAGAGACAAAAATACATCGATAAAAAAAACTATTAATAAAACAGAAACGATCCATTGGAGGGAGAGACAATTGTATTAAATCGCGATAAATTTTCTAAAGTAAAAATGCCAATTCTTTCAATCTTTTGGACTATTGCTCCGTATTTATTTACGCTTATATTAATATTTAATTATTACATATCAATATGCTACATCGAATGTAGATCATAATACACGTACATAAGTTGCAAAAGCGCACGTAAATCGAAAGCTCGAGTGTCAAGACAAATGTCTGACTATGTCGTGTCATTATCTACTAGTAACGCGGTGTGTTGTCCCAGGCGATTAGGCGAATTCATTCTCCGCAAGCCAAATATTACGTAAAAGGGAGGGGGCGTTCGCATACAACAAGCATTGATGAATCGATCGAGAACATGTTTGAATGCAAGAATTATGCAGAGTTCGAAGACGTGAGATATTTTTGTGCTGTCCGGTTGTTTTCATTCAGCCACTCTTGAAAACGATTGGCACGCGTTTGCTGATTGTTCAATGCATCATTTCTAAGAATTATGACTTGTTGTTGTTGATGACATTATTACGTTGAATACCTGACATAGGAATATTATCCCTACAGTGCTGATATTTTTTGTTTGTATCATAATATTTGACATTATTATATTGTTTATATTGTAACAATGATACCATAATTGATATGTTATTGCGATATAATGATTGGTAATGATTGGTGGCATAATAGTAGTCGTTAGAAATAATGATCGAATTTATTTTTTTCTAAAAATAAACATTAGCTATTGAGATAGATTAAATGCCATAATAACAATTGATGATTCACGTTATATAATGCCAATATTTCTCTCGTTAGTTCATATATAAAAAATAATCAATTGCATTTAAATTATAGGTAAAACGAACGGACAATGTTCATTATATGTTTGAGAAATTTTTAATAATTCAATACAAGAGATTTAATTATAAATTTAATTAAAATAAACGCGAATATTAATGTCTCGTCTGAAAATATCGATATTTGACATTCCTGCAGCAGCAATATTACTTCTTAATTTCACTCAAACTAAGACATAGACTCGCTATAGTAGTATCCTAGTTACAACATCGCAATAAGCGCGGGTGTAATGATACACCTCGCGGTAAATGCCACGAGTGGAGATGATAACTATTTTTACGGCTGAGTCAGCTGGTGCGCGAAGCGAAGGATCCTGAGAGGACCCACGAGTTTCGCGGAGGCCTTCGCCGAGGAAAATGCCAGAAATAAGATCCGCTAGGTTCACCCGACGGGTAAACACCGTATCCGAATCTAGGCCAAGCCGTTTATATCGTCGGAATGCGTTGTCGTCGCGGCGCGACGCGGCGCATCCCGAACGTCCCGGCAACGCGCGGCGCGTTATGTCATAATGAGAGAAGCATTAAGGATGTTTTGTATCTATTTTCAAAATATTGAGAATTTAATGAAAATTGTACAGAATGTCCTTACATATGTTTAGAATCTTCAGTACAATTTTTAAATCGATTCACTAAGGCGTTCACAAGTTATAAAGATTTTAATTTGCATCGAATTAACATGTATTCTTATGGGAAATGTATAACCACGTTGATTCAAATGACAAAAACACATGGAAATAATATTCAGAATTTGTTTAAAATTTACAAAAGTGTAGTTTAGATACAGAGGAAATATTTGGTCAAATAATATTATACAAGTACTAACTGGTTAAAAAGATATTAAATATAATTTAATGAAGTTAGCCATGTATCTGTCACAAGGCGATTCTCTGCCAAAAGTTAATCATTTCGATTAAGGATGTTTTGTAGTTACTTTCAAAATATTGACAATTTAATGAAAATTGTACAGAATGTCTTTACATATGTTTAGAATCTTCAGTACAATTTTTAAATCGATTCACTAAAGCGTTCACAAGTTATAAAGATTTTAATTTGCACCGAATTAACATGTGTTCTTATAGGAAACGTATGACCACGTCGATTCAAATGACAAAAACACATGGAAATAATAGAATTTGTTTAAAATTTGCAAAAGTTTAGATACAGAGGAAATATTTGGTCAAATAATATTATACAAGTACTAACTGGTTAAAAAGATATTAAATATAATTCAATGAAGTTAGCCATGTATCTGTCACAAGGCGAAATTTTCTGCCAAAAGTTAATCATTTCGATTAACAAAATTCGGAATATTTCAGTAAAAACGCAATAAATTCCATACAATTTCTTATTTAAAAGACACCAAAAGTGGATATATTTGTCAATATTCATTTTCAGCTACTTTTTGGGATTGTACATACAAAACATCCTTAAATGGAAAACGAATAATCTCATCATATCTTCTCTCCAAAAAAGACATCAATATAGTACCTCATCTCTAGGATTCCGATTTTTTATTTTTCAAAGTGTACGAATTTATTTGTACTCCTCGTACGATAGACTTCGCAGTTACTTGGAATTATTTGAGGTAACGTTGGATTAGGAATCCAACGAATAGTAGATATAAATAATTATTTGATTATCTAATTAAATTTGAAATCGGTTTTTGTCAATAAAAACGTTAATAAATAGAAAGTAACAATTTTTAAAAACAAAACGCGGTTTAAAAATGAAAATAAATAATGTTATTCGATTTAAATATTCTTCTTCAGTGTATTTTTAATTCATGTCATGTCAGATGAATTTATATTATAATATTAAACAATTAAAATTTATAAGAAATTCATAAGATGTTTTCTCTCGGTATAAACATATATAATACACATGTACAATTATATTGTATACTGTAGTATATTCAATTCGATATTTACACATTTAATCTCATATTTGCAATTATGGAATAGAAGATATTGCACATGCATTATGTATTTGAATGCTGTACTTTAGATTCTGTTCTCTGCTAGCAGGAATTTTCGCAACGGGTGTCGAAGTAACGGCCGTTACCGCTAGACGCTGTATTATGTTGTAATTCGTAACGAGCGTGGTTAAAGCGTAATACCGTTTTTTTCTAATCTTTTGCTCATTTCAGTGGTCTCCCAAGCGAGAGGAATGTTAACGATATAATCACTAGATGATAAATCAAACATAGGATCACACGCTTTAACTTGAACTTGGTACATTGCAACGAAATTCTATGATATCGTTTACAAGTCTTGACAGTCGCCACGTGTTTAGTTGAATGTATTACGGTAAAATAGCTTAATACAAAGCTTGTGGCAGAATTTTGGCAAGACGCCGAAAAAAAGTTTTTAAATTGAATCATGACAAGGCAAAACAAATGTGAGCATACAAAGCATTTGGCAACGGACCGATGGGATAAATCTGAAGAAATGCTTGGAAAAATACTACGGAAAAATTCATTTAATATACATATACAAAATTATATACGTATTATTTTTACACAAACATAATTAATATAAATAAAGAAATAATAAAACAATTTGATGATGCTTGTTAACATCCTCCAAATATCTTTCTTACAAAATCCAAAAATATTGTTATTGGCAATATTATAATATCATTGCATGTTTAACCTTGAATAAAAGATACTTATTCATCACGTTTATTATAGTCTCGAATTTTGTCCGCGTCGAAATAAATCGTGCGAAAAAAAATTAACATATTTACCTGCAATATAAGGATTAGACGGGCAAACAGAGTGGGTAGAAATTTCATCGTCATTATCAAATTCGGCACATACGGCCGAGCGATTTTCTTCGATTGCAAGACACAGAGTTTCACCAGCAAAAATAAACCGGATTCGATTCGCGCGGGCTCACCTTAGTATGTTCGGATGGCTGAGCTTGTTCATGAGCTGAACTTCCTTGAGCATGTTCGGTCTATTCGCCGGCAGCTGATTCATCTTGAGCACCATCACCTGACTCGTCACTTTATGAGTAACCTGGAAAAACGAAGTGAATACGGGGTTAGTGACATATTGTAACACGTGGTCACGTTATGCAGTTATTGACATAAGATCACATTGACAAATGTATACGTAATAGTTCCGATTCTAGCAAGAACTTTGAGGTCATAAACGTAAGAGCGCTGTTTTTTGACTATAATACGCTAATATTTTTTCAAATACGTATATGCAAAATTTCTATTACACAAAATTTTTTTCAAAAAATTGTGTGTGCGTATACATTGCCGAGAAACGGTTATTTTTTTATATTTATTTATAATTATATTTATTTTAACTAAAAAAGTTCTAAATTCTAATTTTTCTAAATTGGAATAAATTTTTATTTTTTATTGTATAAATCTGTTATTTTTATATCGTTATTATTATTTTTATATATTATATATTATTATATATACATATAATACACATACACAAATATTTCTAACATTTCATAACAATATATATATATATATATATATATATATATATATATATATATACTTAAAATTACAATTTAGAAACTTTTTCTGATTGAAATAAATATAATTAAAAATATAATAACAAAATTTTTTCGATTATCGAGAGAAACAAAAGAAAGATGCATAAATTGATTTTGTTTTATAGCTAATTACATGCTATACTACATGTGAATACTATAATATATTCATTGTCACGTTAAATACAGGATGTGAAATTTCTATAATTCATTATAGTGCGAGTAAGATAGACAAACCTATATAATTTATCATCGTATCCTCTATAGTGACCTTAATGCAAAGTAATTTCATCGTGATTGTGCGAAACATTTATACGGTTGTCGCAAAATTGATACTAGTACAGCTTGCATCAAAATTTGATAGTATTATTTGATATTTGCATAATAATCACCTAAAGTCGATTTTATTAATTACAAGATTTACGAGAGACTATTATAATTTTTATAATTTTAGATATCTTAATAAATCGAACTGAATATCAAAATTTTATTCAGATTTATATAAAACAAACAAGATTTTTATCATTAAATTTTATTAATAATATAAAGGCTAATAACAGATTTCTTTTTAATTTAGTTAAAATATATCCGTGTATATATATATATATATATATATATATATATATATATATATCCGTCTTGCGTTTGATGTTAATGATTTGACAGTTTTGAAACAACCTATATAATACTAGCTAATCGTTCAAGTACTCGACGACGCCAGATGCGATTCTCATCGCTGACCACGAAACGAAGGCTTGCGTCGTCCTGTTTTCACGTGGCGCAAGTAACACGCGCGAGAGAACGCTAAAGCGATATTTTCGCGAAAGAGAAACTTATTAATGAAATTGCGGCATCTGGTTGGCGTATATACACTCGTAAAGGCACCGGCCGCACAGCATCGTTCAATGTCGAAAATGGATATACAGCCTGTAACTTCTTTATTAATTTTGAAGACGCGATTGCTTTGCTAGTCGATTATTATAGACTTCCTTAGAAGCAGTTTCGTGAAAATTATGAGAAGAACTTAATTTAAAATTATATAGTGCTATTATTTCATCTGTATAGCGCTGCGTAATGAGCTAAGAAATAAAAAAAATCTATTTTATTATGGAATTAATTAAATAAACTCATGAATAAATATTTATCAATGATAAATATTTATTTATTAAAAAATTATTAATACCAGCAGTTCTGAGTCTGTCTATTTGCCAAAGAAATTCGTTAAATCGCCTTTGGCATTATAATATACTATAAAAAAATATCGTAAATTTTTTAGGTAAAATAATTTCTAAGTAAATAATTTCTCATTTTCTTTATATACAATATATATATTTACTAATTTTATATATATACATGAATTTTTTTTCTTTTTATATGAATAAGGTAAAAAATTTAACAATTTCTTTTTATGACGGTGCGAGAACATCTGAGAATACAAGAGATGTGAGGAGGTTAAGGACCACTAGATTACATCACTCAGCCCGATTCTCGGCGTCGAAAGGCGTATAATGCACTCTCTTTTACATTCCAGCACTCGCGCACATTTTACCGTTCATCTCGGATTTCATCTCGGTTCTAAAAGAAGTCGGCCGAAGATGAAACGAGAAAGATGATGAAAATGGAGACGTGACATGAGAGAAGCTCTCTTACATCTCGACGCGAGATGGAAATTTCGCGGATTAAAAAGTCGAGAATAATATCCGAAGAAAACCCAGCCAGAATTCCTTGGCAATGGCCGGCTCCAGTTGGATCGCGGCCAAAACGGTGACGAATGCGAAAACCGGAATTCGAATCCGCCGTAAACAGAACGCGAATCGTTATTATTTCTCGAAAAGAGAGAGAGAGAGAACGAAGAAGAAAGCCCTGTGTGTTTAATCCGACGAATTTTATTTCCGTTCATCGCACGGCGAAATTCAAGGGACTGGCGAATCGACTGACAGGAAGATGGGACGATGCTATCGATCTCTCACCTGCGCCAGTTTATTTGAATAATTCCCATTGTCTGAAATTGCTTCTTTCGATATTGCGTGTTTTCTATCACACACTGCCATTGTATTTACGATTGCGGAGAGAAAGCATGCGCGGCAATTATATTGTAACAGCGAGTGATTAATACCTCCTTGAGCGTCGCATGCATAATGCAAAACACGTTTCGCGCCTTTCCACCCGCATGTAGAGATTACCACGTGTAAGTGACGATCGGTATGAACTCGGCAAAATTGAATAAAATGAAAGCTAATCCTTTATTATTAGCATTATTCAAAAACGAAATTTTCAACGATTAAAATAATGTTTGAAAGATATCAAGTTGGAGAAATACTTTAGACTAAAACGAAAATAAGGAGAAAAAGAGTTATATTTTTCTACATGTGTATCATTTTCGTCATTCTGTTTTCAAGTTGGAAAAGAATTGATTTTTTTTATTTCAATTAATAATATATTGATATAAATTAAATATAAATATATAATTACACTATAATTACAATTAATATATTTCAATTAATAAAATTGAAGAATTTCGTAATTATTTATTTTGTCTCTATAAAAGACGATTAAATTTTGTTGTCAATATAGTGTTATCGATTTCTTTGAACTCGTATGATTCAATCGCCGAGAAGTTCACTTTATAGAGAGGACAGAAGAGGGAAACACTTCATCTATCAAGTATCGTTCTGGCAAGCTACGGCGCAATTAAGAGCAGCGATCCAATTAGCAAGCGCACTGGACTTTGCAAGCTCAAAAGCTCTCTACAAAGGTTTGCCTCGTATGTTCACAATCATCGTCAACCATCATAACCGTCAACAGTCTAATTATAAATGCATCCGAGAGATGAAGGCGCCAAATAGGGGATGCGAAAGGGAGATCGACAATCGAAAGAGTATGTGCTCTTAAACTTTTTATGTTGAAATATTTTTACGCTCAATATTTTTGAGCTTACAATACAATGGCTTTGTATACTTTTATTCAAATACGCATGAAAACGATAAAAAATATGTAATTTTTCATTATCCATTATAAAGGTATAATTTTAATCAAAATAAATATATATAACAATTATAATGTACTTATTAATTAAATTATGTGTATCTTTGTTCTTTTTTTATTGAATTGCTTTTAATAATTTTATTTCTACTTGAGGATTAATACATAAGCACAAATTATTAATTTCATACAAAGAAAAAGAAAGAAACAAAAAAAGAGAATATATTATAATTGCTTAATTAATTATATACTTGAATACATTTGATTTTTCGTGAAAAAATTTATTTTTTAAAATAATTACCACGCTTCTGTTTTTTAAAACAATTATAAAACAATTATCATGCATCAAAAACAGTTTTAGAAATGTATATCTTTTTATACTTATAATTCTTTTTATTTATTATAGGTGTGTAATTTATATGATATTTTGCGAAATTGTGATATCGCAATAATCACACGCACACATATTTGTGAAAAAATTATAAAAATATAATAATTCATGATTTCATAAACCGGTAAAAACGACTAAAAATATGATATGTCAAGGAAACCAGACATGCAAGAGACTTTCTAGATTCAAACTTTTTTAGGCAGAAATTTATGTACTTATATACAATCTGGTAAAGGTTAACCGCACTTACATGTAAATGCAGATTAACATATAAAACACGACAGCTGTCATTTTTATCGTATATCTACCATTAATTTTCGCCAGAAATATATACATATAAATGATAGTTATTAAAGATATACTATTAAAGATATATACTATTAAAGATCATAATGAGTCATAATCTATAATTTATAGCATAAACATGACGCATAAAAGCAGATAAGAAGACTTTTAATTTCCTGATATGTCTTAACACAGCTCCGTCTAAATTATTCTAATATTATATTTCTTTATATATATAAATTTTTATTGAAATAGACAAATTGTGTAATTAATTTGTGTAATTAATTGATATCAAGATTATAAAAAATTGGCTTTTATGTAAGAATTATTCTTCTATATTATGTAAAAATTCTTATTTTATATAAGAATTCTTATTTTACGTAAGAATATATTTAATTTTACAAAATTTCAGTTTTCATTTTCACAAATTTAATATAAAACTCTTTGCAATTATTTTGCAAAAATTAGTTTCATGAAAGAAATATTTAAATAATTGTCTGATATCTATTTTTAAGAATTCCAGAAAATCGAAATTTTCAGAATTCACATTTAAGATGCAATGATCTTTGCTAACTAATTTGCTTTTATTGTTCATTAATTGATTGAAATATAAGTCTGCAAAAAATGGTAATTATTTAAAATTCGAGATATAATACGCAATATCACGTAAAGGCAAGAAGGATATCAAATTTTGTAGTAAAGATCAATTGCACATTCAACTCGATTCACGTGCAATTCCTTAGTTTCATAAACGAAAAACACGTGGTTTTCTCTGTCCTGTTGCAATGCTGAGAAAAAATATTGAGAAGAAGTGATATTCAAGGTCACAATAAAATACAATGA